GAATTAATTTTATTTAAATGGAAGAAGTGCTTTCCAAGTACCTAACCTAGATTGAATGACTTCTTCCATCTCCCAGTTAGTTATTTTTAAAAATTTATTTTCAGGATGGGTGTGAGCATATCCCAAATCATGCTCACTGGACTGGGGGGCAATTCAGGGATAGTAGTGTGCAATTCACACACCTTAGTCCCTTTCTCTCTGGCACTCCTGCTAGTTTTCTTGATAGAAATAAACAGTACAAGAAGGGTAGTATTGGAACATATGCTATTCGTGAGATAATACAAGATATTAAGATATAATAAGTTATCCTAATTAAAATAATAGTATATAACCAATGTTTTCCACCTTTGACCCTACAGTGTCTCACCTCTCCAATATAAAATTCTCCTATCTTATGGAACCTAAGAAATAGGACAGTAGATAAGGCATTAGTCCTTCACAGACCAACTCAGGTTCAATCCCCAGGGCCCCCATATGGTACCCTATGGTACCCCAAGCCTGCTAAGAGTGATCGCTGATTGCAGAGCCAGAAATAAGCCATGGCACATCTGGGTATAGAAAAAATAAATAAATAAATAAAATTTACTTATCTCAGAACACTTGAGTCTCATCAACCTAGTTTCTAAAAGCTTATTCTAAAAATATTATTTCCAGCTTACTAATACAAGTTACAAAGAAAATTCAAATAAATATCAGGGCAGAGTCTATAATGTGAATGTGCTTTAACAGCAGTCAATTACTTTACAGAGTCAGATGAAGCTGACTAGTGGTGTAAATGTACTAGTGGTGTAAATGTACTAGTGGTGATTTTATGGGTAATAAAAATTCATAACCAGACTGAGTAGATGAGTTTGAACAATGGGTACAATATTACAGCAAGGACTTGGGTGGGCAGTGTGTAACAGATAAATGAACTCAGGTGGGGAGATGGCCCCAGCTGAAAGAGAAGCAGGTGCAGACGGTACTCAAAGTCATGATTAATACAACAAGCAGTCCAAAAGGTCAAAGAAGCAAGGTAATGATGAATTCAGAAATCCAGGCTAAGATATTTGTATTTATTAATGAATGTAGGATATTTTCAATACAACATTAAAAGAACAAAATAAATTAGCTTCTTCTAAGAGCATACCTTATCTCTACTTTTAAACAGCATCTCATTCCCTTCAGTAAGCTCTTTTAATTACATAACTGGGGGTCACAACATTTGGTCAGATGGTGAAGTAACGGATACTAATGGACAAGCAGTGACAGATTTGTTCTTTGTCATTTTCTTCCCATCCTTGTGGAACCAATGAGGTATTCTCAAATGTACTTATGAGTTTATATGGCAATTTAGAGGAGAGATTAAGCAGTAATTACAGAAAATCAACAAAATTTATAAGGTAAAAGCTGGAGTTAAAAAGGTTAACAGTTTTTTTTTTTCAGTCTTAAAACTGTTGTCTTATCTTTAAATTCTCTTGGATTATCTCTGAAAAATATTTTGATTCATTTTTCTTTGGTCTGTTTAGTGTCGTGTAAATTGGGAAAGATTGATTTTTATGACAGTAATAAAATAAGTGGCTTAGTCACCAAAGCAAATGGTGCTTGTCTCTTCTTCCTTTTGGACTTGTGTCTAGAGAAAAAAAGTATGTAAACTCAGACTGGCATTAAGAGCCTGTTCATGTTTATTATACCAATTTATATAGTTTTATTGCCAATTTTTTTGTTATTACTTTAACAGAAAAATCATATTCGAAAAATCAGGAAGTGTTAATTAATATTGATAGCTAATTTCAAAACACTAAGGAAAAACATATAGACTGCTTTGTTTGAAGAGGGTACTTTCCTAACTAGAATAAAATCTTTATATGACATATTAGATAAGAGAGATTTGGTTTGTGAAGGAAATATTTTTTGCAAGACACTAGCAAAATGTCATTGTTTATATGAGACTAATAGAAGCTCTTTATTCACTCTGTGTCAGTGAAAGTCAAAGGATTTTTTGTTGTTGTTCTGAAACTGATTTTGTGCTTCTTTTCCTAGATTAGAAACCAAAAGTCTTGTTTCATTTTGTTCTGTTTCTGTCTTTTGTGTTTCTTAGGAGAGGTTTTTAATTTTAATCTTTCCTTTAGAATATGATGAGAAAGTATATAAACCACATGATATATAATATAGAATATGAGAAATAGAATTTCCCATTGATTAGGCAGCCAATATATGAATATTTTTATTGTAAATGAGAATTAATCCTATTTTTCTTTTCTTTTTTACTTTCCAATTTTTGGGGCCACACCTAGCAATGCTCAGGCCAGTCCTGGTTTGTTGCTTTAGGTCACTCTTGGGGTGTTCAGGACATCATATATAGTGTCAGAAATTGAACCCAGACATCCAGCAAGAAAAATTATGCACTCTAGTCGGTTCAGCTATCTCTACAGCTGCTCTGTCTTTTTCTTTCCAGTATGTGAATAAGGAAGGCTTTGCTTAGAGTTTGAAGAGAGATCCTAATGATCTAGTTTTTCAAATCTAGATGACTAACTAGGCATCCATGCTATTTACTTTACTTCAAAGTTGTTTAAGTTCATGTTATGTTTAGATGATTGTACCCAAGTTTGCCTTTTAAATGTCTAGGTACATGAAACAAGTATCTGTTACATTTTTGGTAAGTCCATGTCACATAAAGAATTTTACATTGCCACTATATTATAAATATGCATGTGCTTTCCCATTTCTGTTTATGTTTTTCTATTGATACAGACACCGAGATTTGCTGTAGGTCTGTGTTGCTCTATGGTTCCATGAATTAATGTTTTTAACTTTCTCCTGGGACTATAGTCTGACAGCTAAATGTGTACCTCACTCTAATTTGTTGTTTGGGTGACAGACACAGAGGTTTTCAGACTTACACCTGACTCTGTGCTCAGGGACCACTCTTGGTGTTGATTTGGAACCCTATAGGTTGTGGGAATCCAGCCAGGGTCTTTGTTTGGGAAGCAAACACCTTAAGCCCTATACTATTTTTCTAACTCCCCTCACCTTAATTATTTTGTAAAGAGGGCCACACTGAACAATGCTCAAGGCTCACTCCTGGCTCTGCACTCAGGAATCACTCCCAGCAGGCTGGGGGGCTGGGGGTTCATTAATAGAACTTTAGTGGGTCACAAGCAAGACAAGCACGCTATCTTCTGTACTATCACTCCAACCACTTCAACCTTAATTTTAATGAAGCATTGAGAGAGAAAGAGAGTGAGAACTATTACTATTGAGACGTTATAAACGCTGAGTTAACATAAACTGAGTACAGAGGTTGCTTCAAAAAGTTTCAATTGCTTGCTTTATTCTTCAAAACAAGATTTTGAAGGATTTTGTATTATCCACATTTTATAGAGGAGGGAATAAGCACAGAAGTTATTTATAATGTATATATAAAGTAGGTTCTTGTTTTTTAACAAACATTTTAAAAATTACTTTTTTTCTCATGAAGTAAAAAACAGCTTAGTGTGAAGACCTTCATTTAACTGTGACTTATTCTAGTCGCAACTGCTGAAAGCTAATTTTTGAACTTTTTACGCCAACTCAAAAAAGTGATACTTGGTCTTCTTTGCTGGTGTTGGTATCAGCAAAGAACCTGAGTCAATTACTGTCCAGTAAGCAAATACATCTTCACTTTAAAATGTTTAATCATAAAAAAAATTTTAATCATTTACTAAATGTACTGGTATTCCATAATGTGAACATGTGTGAAGACTTCCCTCCCAAAATCACAAAACACAAGAACACTGTCCTCCCGTTGTTTATCTATTTGCTGAGAGCGGGCCCAGCAACGTCTCCATTTTGAGACTTGTTGTTACTGTGTTTGGCATATTGAATACATCACAGATAGCTTGCCAGGCTTTGCCGTGCGGGCGAGATACTCTTGGTAGCTTGCCGGGCTCTCGGAGAGGGCCGGAAGAACTGAACCTGATTCGGCTGGGCTGGCTGCCTGCAAGGCAAATGCCCTACCACTGTGCTATCACTCCAGCCCCTCCCAAAATCAAACCATCCCATTTTCCTCTTTAAGCATTAATTGTTAGTAGGACTATTGATATGACTAATTATTACTGATAACTGTTTCTAAAAATGATTCTCCCTCATGCTAACCTTAAAAGTAAAAATACTCTTTAATGTGTACCACTATTTTAAAACAATGCCGTTTGAAAAGAAAGATAACATAGAAATCACCTGCTATTCTGATCAAAAATTTTAAAATTTCTTATCTCAGAAGACTTGTAGTTAACTTGTTAACTTGTAGTTAACAGAAACAACTTTGACTTTCAAGATCTCAAAAATAAATATTACTCTAGACGTTGATACAAAACTTGGATTCAGAATAATAAAAAATAAACTGAGGTTGGAATTGGAGGAAATATGATAAAAGGACACCAAAATTTTAAATCAGGGAACAAATAGAATTTTATCTTTAGAATAATACTGGTGCTTTTATCTCCATTACTTTAAAGGATAAGGGAGAAACTCAGTCAAGAGCTTTCAGCTGCACGTTGAAGGATGCATTAAATTAAACCATACCCTAACCTGATGTTAGTAAATATAATACTTATTTCAGAAATTGTCAAGAATGCACCCACATTGCTATCTTTCAGAGAGGTCACAGGTTTCTTGCAACATGTTTATTACCAGTTGTTGACCTAGGTGTTGTATCATCGCTATCCCTCGGTGCAATGTTTATGACATGTTTGATTATTTGCTAATCTGTGCTGTGAACCCATCAGTCTGTTTTCAGTGGGGAGGGCAAGGGGAGGAAAGAGGGTGGGAAGGGTATGAGGGTGGAAGGAGGGAAGATCATTTTGTTTGATGTTTGTGCGATGGAGGGAAGTTGATAATAAAGTTTGAATTAAAATGTACCGAAAGAGTTCTGTTTGGGCCATGACGAAAAAATGAGCTGTGATATATGCTGCTCATGATGACTTTTTTTTTTCAGTGATCGTACTTTTTTATTTTTTTCTTTGTTTTATATTTTCTCTCAGGGGAAGTCTCTCACGTCAAAGAGATTAACAAGCCTTGTTCAGTCTTCCTAAAAGGATCATCCTGTAGCATGGAAGCTAACTGGAGTCTGCATATACTTTGTAGCTTTGTTTTACCTGGAGCAGAGACATTAGCCCAAGATGTTGCATGAGAAAAAGACCTGAATTGTTCTTTTTGTGTGTACATTAAGGCTTCATCTGCAAGGGACTCTACCATCTCAAAGCCTCCATTTCAAAATTTTGTCTGCTTATTTCTCCCTTGTATAGTAAGCTGAATCTGTGTCTTTTCCTTTTTAACAAGCTCAGTGAAGTAAACTTCCCCTCCACTTTTTCAGTCACTCTCTCTTAAAGCTTATGCTAGACACACAGTTTACTGAAATTCAGTCAGTTACAAACTGGAAGAATTGTAAAGGAAAACATATATCATAAGCATCCATGTGGCTTCACATTTATTAACCAATATACTAACACAGAAACTTTCATTTCATTAGTGTATTCACAGTCAGGAGACACAAGGTCACACATTTGCTGTCTAGACATTCTCAGTTAATGTTTCTTGCATTATTTTATACCATATTTAAGTAAGACACACCTTTTACTCCAAATGTATTAAAATTTACCCCTTATCTGTAAATTTGTGTATGTTTATATTGTTGTTTTATCTTTCATTAAAAGATGCAGAAACTCTTTGCTTTTGAAACTTTGAATTCCATGCTAACTGAAAAACAAAATGCTGAGACAGTATCCTCAAGCCTAGTGTTGCCATTTATCCTGTGATCCTCTAAGTTTATTTCAGCATAGCAAAACAAGTTTGGATGACACCACAACTAGGAGCAGACTAAAAGTAAATAATTGGGGGACTGAACCAAGGTCATTTTTCTCCCATGGAAGATGAACACAAATTAGCTAGTCACATTCAGAGCTATTTACATGGTCATTCTGAGTATGCTTTTCTATAGTTTGTTAGTGTTTGTTAGAATTAAGTTTGAGTTTAACTTCCTAATTCAGGAACTGATACTTTCTTAAAAGTATAATTTTTAATGTCCTAGATTTGTGGCTCTTAACTTTTTAGTGGTTACAATTCCTTTGAGACATGATGGTAATGATTAAAATTTAAAGAGTGATTTCTAAGTGACTGCCATTGTATTTTAGGTTTCATGTGTCAAAAAATCCTCAATTCTAGTTCTTAAATCAGACCTAGAAGGTAATTCTGTAATTTGAGACTACTGAGACAGAGTTAGAGATAAAATAATTTATTGAAAGTCACACAATTGATGGATTGGGATACAAATGCAGACAGTCTGACTCCAGAACTCTCTACACTATATGTATCCATTACACTGCACACCTTAAAAAGAAATTTTAATTTAAATTCACATGCACACATATTGGCAACATTTGCACTAAGTTTTGGATACTCACAGAATAGCCTCTGGAACTCTCACCCATGGACCACAGGTAAGAAACCTTACTTGCTATAACACTTGGATTAGTGACATTAAATACCTATTACCCAACCAGAGACATATCTCTCTTATTTGCTTCTGCATCTACTGAGGGATTACTTTAGTTATTGAAGAGAGAGTGAGACAACAAGGAGATAGTGCAGAGGGTTAGGGTATACAAAAGGTACCTATTTGATGATCATCTCCTGTTTGATACCAACTCCAGATGTCCCTGACCATAACAGGGGTGGCACCGGGTATGGCTTTGGAGACCTCAAGCACAGCTGAGATAACTTGTTCACTAGCACCATAGGACTCAAGCAGGACTACTTGTGAAACACTCTCCCAAAACAGAGTTTGGGAGAAAATCTAGTTATGAATAACTATTAATTAAACTCATAGTGGTAACATTAAATGAAATAGTGGTAAATTTAAATTCTAAAAAGTCTATCAAGATGTATGAAAAATCAATAGTGAGCTGTTAACTAGTGTACAAAATTTCCAAAAAAGGGATTAAAAGTAAAAGTTTACATATTGACTCCTAACACTGTGTGAATAGTTGGAGAAAGGTCTAATGATATAGCCATATGAGTTTTTGGAGCAATAGCACAGTGGTAGGGCATTTGCCTTGTACCCGGCTGGCCTGGTGGAGCCAGGTTCAATTCCTCCACCTCTCTCGGAGAGCCTGGCAAGCTACTGAGAATATCTCACCCGCAGAGCAAAGCCTGGCAAGCTCCCTGTGACGGATTCAATATGCCAAACACAGTAACAACAAGTCTCACAACGGAGACATTACTGGGCCCGCTCGAGCAAATCAATGAACAACGGGAGGACAGTGACAGTGCTACAGTTAAGGCCAGGGCTAGTCCCAGTGTTTCTTGCCTTTTTTGTTCCACATATAAATGCAAATTACTCTAAATGTATAGACATGCTACTTGAAATATTCCATTTAAGACAGCTTGTATGCTAAAATTTGATTGAAACACTAGATAGAAACACTAAAAGAAAAAAATACACATATTAGGAGAATCTGGTGCATTAAAAACTAGCCTTGTAAAAATATAATTGACAATTTACAAACCATTAGTCCTGATAACTAAAAGTATGGCTTTATACAGACATAAAAAGGAATGACCTGTCAATAAAGTATAGAGAAGAGAAACCCTCAGGTGAGAATCCTCAAGTGTTCAGCTTTTAATAAAGTGCTAATTTCTGAATTCTAGTACAAGAAAGCTTTAAAGGCCTAATGAATCTACATCATATGACTTAGATAAGACTCAAGATAAAAATCAGTAGTATTTTAAGAGGAGCACATGGAAAGTTTTGAAGTTCCTTATTTCTTGATTAAGCATTGAAATAAGCATGTTTTCAACATCAGACCTTGTGATAAATAAACAATAAGGCATAGACAAAAAGCTTTCAAATTTCTAAAGAATAAATGACTTTAAGGAAGTATTTTCTTCTGTAAGCAAAGTTTAAAAGTTATTCCCAAAGCATTGGCCCAGAATTTTCATACTCTGGTTGCAAAACAAATTCATCCTATAAATTACATTGACCTTCTTTTTGTGATGTAAGCATTATGTTTTCTATGGATGTGCAAAGTATTTTATGTGTGAATTAGAGTCACAGAAATATGTCAACAATTTTAGCTAATCCATAATCTATTAGAAGCCAGAGGGAAAAAGAAAGCACAAGTCCTACTTTTCATTATGACAAGACTGTGAGTTGGTCATGCTATTCAGGATTTGCAGATGTACTCCATTCTTCTTCTGGTTACTGCTCAGTTCTATTTAATATACATGAGTTTATAAATAACATTAGTCTACAGGAAAGACAAGTCTTACATATTAGCGTATTTGCATGCCCTTAAATAAACAATTGAATGAACATATTGAAAATATCCAGTGAGGGTTTTTTTTGCATAATCTAGCGGTTTTTAATATATCAAAAGAAATAACCAAAGGCACTAATTAATATTCTAAGTCATTTTAAGAAATGGTGGGACATAGCAAAGAATTTAGTAAATGTGAAGATGGATAAAAATTGCACTTAGGTATCACACATATACTTGTATTACATATGTTTTGTTGTTTAATAGTTATTGTATATACTTATATATTTTATTGAAATGTTTGTACCCCAGTTAGCCTTTTAAAAGTTGTCAAATAATGTATCAACCATAGCATGTTAGTTTAAAATCATATTAAAACATAAACTGTTTTATATGCCGTTCTATGTCTGAAGAAAATTCCCTGAAGCTGGGATGTATTTATAGCCATGCTTTCAAAAAGTTATTTAATTTCTCGGAAGATGAGCACTTTTAGCTCAGTAAATTGATTAGTAAATATTTATGTAATAGATTATAATACTTAATAATGTCACTGTTTTTTAGAAATCAAATAAACTGAAGTATATTATGTATGTGTATATATGTATGTATATACACATATATGGCTGAAATGTTTACCACAGTGAAAATACTAAGACTATAAATAAATCTCCAAGTACAGTATTTGGCATGTATATATTTGGCAATCATAAATAACATCTACTTTAATTCTCTTTTTCTCTAAAAGTTTATATTTGTAGAAAGATAAAATTGTAGTTTAAACACTCCTAATTAGGAATGAATTCCAGGAGATAGAGTTTTTCATAAGAGTACCAGAGGCAGGGAAATATCTGAGAATAATCGGGTATAATGGACTTGGAATCAACCAAACGGAGAAAAGATTAAAGCCTAAAGTGATAATTAAAAAGTAATATTGATCTTGGGGCTGGAGTAATGGCACAGCAGGTAGGGCGTTTGCCTTGCACGTGGCCGACCTGGGTTCGATTCCCAGCATCCCATATGGTCTCCCGAGCACCGCCAGGAGTAATTCCTGAGTGCATGAGCCAGGAGTAACCCTTGAGAATCTCGAGTGTGACCACAAAAAAAAAAGTAATATTGATCTTAACCAAAAAAACATGAAAAAATTAGTTTCTGAAAACTGCAGCTGTAGAAAATATAAAAAGAGAGACATATGCATCTTCGTCTATATTTTTAGTGGAAATTCTTGTTGGAGAGCTAGCCAAAATTACCTACAGAAAAAGGGAAAGAGGATGATATTGGTAGTTGTGGGGTAAAATGATTAAATCATGTATCTAATGATGTCTCTTCACAATATACAAATATCCAAATTTCTTCCATCATCTATTGTAATTTCATAGTTCTGTAATTTCAAAAATAAAGTGGATATTGGGTACTGAATGACTTGGCATGAAGCTACCTATGAAAGTAAATATTGTGAAGAATCACATCCTATTATTTATGTGGGAGTTTTGGTGACCTATATATATTTGCCATATACTGCCACATTCTAAATGTTAGTTTTGATGATTATTTTATTTCTTTATTGTTTATTTCTTTATTGTTACTGATAAAAATAAAGTTAACAGACACAGAATGTGAGGAGGGAGAGGAAAATAGAGAAAATAACCAAAAGGAATATTTGTTCATTAACAGAGATTAAATCACTTGATGCCAGCAAAGAAACCAAGTTAAAGGTGCTGAAGCTCTCTCAGAACTCGAGTTAAAGATCTCTCAGAACTCAAGGGTTACAAACCAAGCAATACTGTCTTCAGGCTGCTCAGTGTGAAACAATACTTGTCTACGAACAAAAGCATTCCCAGTGGTCATGATTTTTTTTGTATTTTGTCCCATGCACAAAGGTGAATGGTGATGTATGTACAATGTGCACATAACACATAGATCAGCATGTACAAGACAGAAACGATAACACTCATTGTAGGTATGAAAGCTCGGGTAAAATTTGAAATTGGTATATATATATATATATATATATATATATATAGCAAGGAGAAACTGAAGTGTGAAGCAGACCACTCCAGATTTGTAGTGACAAATTTAATAAGCAAGGAAATTTATAAATGAGGCTTGTCCTGGGAAACCCTTATAACAGTAGATCTATCCATTTGACAGTTCATAAATTTATGCAGAGAATCTATGAGGATTCAGTCAGCTACACAGTCTACATGATATCAATGACACTCAACCCTTCAAAAGTTGTATGAAATGGTTCCTAGT